AAATATTCTAATATGCAGGGGGGCTCATCATTAAATTTCTGCTCTTTTAGGGGGGGGGGCTTTCAATTTTAAAAATTTAGAAAAGAAAAAATTCCCCTCCCCCTTCCATAAATAATGACCGGTCCCTAAGTACCCAAAGAAGCTATATATATATATATATATATATATATATATATATATATATATATATATATATATATATATATATATATATATATATATATAATATAGCATTTGTAAATTCTGAACGCTGATTGGCTAAGAGTCGTGTTGATATAACTCAATGTCAACACGGAAACGTCGGAAAATTTCCTTCTTTATGTTTCTTTGTCGGGCGTCATGTTTCCACACAATTTCTCGTTTTCCCAATTTCCAGTCGTGTTAATATTTAACAATTATTCGCCGAAGGCGTGGTGATTATTGGGGAATATTCACCGAGACGAAGTCGAGGTGAATGTTCCCCGATAATCACCAAGCCTGAGGTGAATGATTGTTTTAGTATTTTACACAATTTTTTTGTGTTTTTAGGGACTGAATTTATTTTAATTTCGCTTATTTCTTTATCAGTAACTTCCACAAAACGGCTAGCCGCCATTTTGTAAATTTCTATGGGTGAATATAACAGCTTAATACTTCAAATTTGACCAATCAACTTGTAGGATTTGTTATGTTCACTTGTGCGAAAATACTAAAACTGTATATCAACATGGAAAATGTGTTATATTTGTTAAATATCAAAAACTGGATACTAATAGCTGTTTTGCGAATTTGAGAGGAATTTCAACTATCTGTTCAGTTTCTTTTTATACACCCTGTATAGTCTGATAGATCTATCTTTGAGTCTGTCTTCAATGTATACTATATTCAAACCATATAGTCTTTACTGATTACATATATGTATATCGACACTCGTACTACGTACGACTACGTACAAGTTAATTTACATGAACGTTTCCTGGAAATTATGTACTGTTTAATAAATGAGCTGCAGCAGTGTTTTATTAGGTTTAAAGACACGAGCGCGCAGCGCGAGTGGCTTTAGACCTAATAAAACACGACCTGCGAGTTTATTAAACGGCTTCAAACACGACTATACAAATTCAATAGATATACCGCCTAATTAGTATTCTTTATATAAAAAATACTAATGAGGACACGACAACAATAGATACTGCCTTATTAGTATTCTTTATATAAAGAATACTAATTAGGAGTGTTTTATCAGGTTTAAAGCCACTGCACGTGACATATTATGGTTGACATGATTTGCCAATAACCTTATGAATTATTAATGAGTGTTTGAAATTCTGATTTAATAGTGAGACCGTGTGTAAGTGAGAAGGAATTCGCTGTTACAAAAACTAAAGTTCAAGACTTTTGTCGTGGCGTTGGTCCAGTTTTACAGAAGAAACTTGAAGAAAGAGCTTCTCAATCTAAAAACTGGGTAAACTTGAAATAAATTATTATTGTTGTATTAAATGTTGTTGTTTGTGACCAAAAGAGGAGCTGTATGCATCATGCATCCTTTGACTGTGCGATATAAATACTGAGATACTAAATGTTTCATGATATAGAAAATTTAATATTATCCTACATTTCAACTTCATTTCTTACTTAATACTGCAGTTAGGTCATTTACCTCAGCTAGGTCTATTAAGGCCGCAAGCCAGAAAACTTCAAAGATGTTATTCAAGAAACACAAACATGAGTTTGAACGGGGTTTGAACAAAACTAGTTAGAAATGGCCCAACGACGAAACAGAAACATCCTCTATTGGTTATAAAAATATCACAATTATAGTTGTGAGGGATTAAAATTCTGCACCAGTTGAGTGCTTAGCCAAAACAAACACTTCATGCCATTGCCCTACGCATCAACCGCTTTAGCAGATGCATGTAAAACAATAGCAGCACAATATAATTATTAATCGTGATCCTGCACAAGGTACACAATAGCCTAGAACAAAAAGATTTTAGAAATTTCCTATAACCATGTACGTTCATTCAAGGGCGGATTTTCATTTTTTTAAAGGAAAGGTGGGAAAATTTCTAGTGGGGTGCAATTAGCGGCAGCACTGAGCGTTACGGTTAAAGATTGTCATACAAAATGACAAAATAGGAGGGGTGAAGCGAAATTTTGGTGGGGTTGAACACTTTATAAGAGGGGTTAGAGAGATTCTATAGGGGGGGGTTTAAACCCGCCCCCCCCCCCCCAGGAAATCCGCCCATGCCGGTTCATTAACTATGGTTAGGTTTTCCTTATATACACAGGTGCATGCAGAGACTTGAGTTCCCTAACAGAATTTTTAATATAAAAGTTTCAATGTTCAGTATTTTTGTGTGTATCTTATCTACAGTTTAATATCCTCCATAATCGTCTGGGTTGTGTCACTTTACGTTTTTCTTGGACCGTTTTCCTCTCAAACTTTTCTTCCATGATCCTTTATCTAGATCATGTGAATTTCATAAATTTCGCTCAATCGCATAAATACCGCTCGCATCCTTCCTTTTTTCCATTCCAAGCCATGTTACTATGGAGCAGTATCTGGTCACAGAGTAGATAAGACATACAGAGACGTAACTGACCGTTGTAAACACTGCGGAAGCTTACGTTTTCATGTACCCACTTTTTTTCAGGCGACCGGGCGAAAAATGATCAACTGCGCGGCTCAGTAAGTTTAAAGTGAGTCGTCATCAGGTGGTCGTCATCCAATCAGATGCATGCATCTAGTAACTTGCCGAGCATGCGCACAAAAAAAGTGGGTACACTAGTTACGTCTCTGTATGTCTCTACTCTGTGATCTGGTTCAAAAATACAAGGCTACTTGTTTCGTATGATCATGGATAATAAAATAATGGATAGGAAACTAGCTGACGTAATCTAATGTTTTCAATGGGCTGATGGCGTGATTGGATGTTGAAACCTAGTTGCAAACCAAATTCTCAAAAACGGCATGTTTAGCAATAATACAGCTAAACATTTTAGTCAAAGAGCAAATGAATATAACCACGCCATTCTACGATGAAATCTCTAAGTATTCCCAGTCAATTTTAGCAAATATTTCAAGCACTAAACAGTGAAAAAGGCATCCCAAATTTCGTTAAAATTGGGGACGCCAATTTCGTAGCTACAAATGTAAAAAAATACAAAACAAAGACGAAAAACATATACCTTGAATACTTTGTCGTGGCTTAGGCATGTTTTTAAAACAATTAGACCAGTATATGCTTCAATATTACTCTTTTAAAGCGGAAAGTATAGCGAAACAACAAAAATGCCGAGAACTTTGCAATCTAGAGTCCTATCCATTTATTTTATCACAGAATAGATACAGGACCAGAAGTGTCACTCAGACGATATTTTGTCCGAAATTTTAAGAGTGCTGACGTGAAAATACGCCATCATATGACGCCATCTTGGAGTGCACACGGACGTTTTTCATAGGCAAACATAGGTACAAAGTGCCGGGTGCACTCCAGGATGGCGTCATAGCACGCAAAAAAAATTCGGACGTTTTCCTTCAGCCAAAACAAATAGGAGTGACACTTCTGGCCCGGTATCTATTCTGTGATTTTATTATCCATGGTATGATGTTGCGACATGACGACACGTCCTTGTGGCCAATGCATAATAGTGTGCATGCATGTATTACGGATCTCACCGAACTGTGGCATTGCATCAAAAATTCGTATCGCCGCCACTCCTACAAACGTCTACGACCGCACCTACATATTATTTTTGCATGTTTTAAACATTCAAATTTTAAACAGCCAATCCGGTTCTTGGCCGGTAACAACATGGATTGTAAAATAATTGGATAGGAAACTTCCTGACGTCATTGACTCATCCTTGTTGAAAAACGTCACGCGTATTGCGAATACGAGGGTCTTAATGGGGGTCTTTGGGTGTCTGTTGTCAGCTAAAATTTAAGCCAGCTGTCAGTGCGATATATTGCAAGCTGTCAGTAGTCAGTTACTGCAAAAAAGCTGACGCATAATTTTTTCATCATTTCTCAGTTGTCAGTTAGGATATTTTGTCAGTTGTCAGTCAAAAATTCAGGTAAATGTAAGTAGTCAGTTAACCCCATTCAGACCCTCGAATAGTACCAAAGTTCTCGGCATTTTTGTTGTTTTGCTATATTTTCCACTTTAAAAGGGTGATATTCAAGCATAAACTGGTCTAATTGTTTTAAAAACATGCCTAAGCCACGACAAAGTATTCAAGGTAAATGTTTTTCGTCTTCGTTTTGTATTTTTTACATTTGTACCTACGAAATTGGCGTCACAAATTTTAACGAAATTTGCGATGTATTTTTCACTGTTTAGTGCTTGAAATATTTGCTAAAATTGACTGGGAATACTTAGAGTTTTCATCGTAGAATGGCGTGGTTATATTTATTTGCTCTTAGACTAAAATGTTAGCTGTATTATTGCTAAACATGCCGTTTTTGAGAATTTGGTTTGTAACTGGGTTTGAACATCCAACCACGCCATCAGCCCATTGAAAACATTGGGTCACGTCAGCACAGAATAAGAAGGTACAGCAGAAGTGTAACTCAAGCAAGTATTTGTCCGCGTTTTTATAAGCGATTCGTCATCAATCACGCCATCCTGGCTAGTACAACCGGCACTTTGTACCTACCAAAACCTGATAAAAACTTCCGGTTGTACTAGCCAGGATAGCGTGAGCAAGTTAAAATTTTCGTGGACGTAAAACAATAAAGGAACCGACTCAAGTTACACTTCTGCTGTACCTTCTTATTCTGTGACGTCAGCTAGTTTCCTATCCATTTATTTTATTATCCATGGTAACAACTGTTTAAAATTAGAATTGTAAACACGAATTTTCGATGCGATTCCACAGTTCGGTTAGCCTACGGTGTAGACCGCAGCAGAAACACGTTTCGTGAAACGTGTTTCTGCTGGGGTCTACACCGTAGGCTACAGTTCGGTGAGATCCGTAATAACACTCTCTATAGCAACTCTATTAATAGCAATATTTAACAGACAAAGTGTGCCACACTATATGTAAAGCTGTATAACGGTGTGTAACTACAGTATGTGAACTTTCTAATAGTGCAACACTATTTGACAATATGTTGTGTTACTGTCATTGATACTGTAACGGCCTGTACGCATGTAATATAGCGTGATAAATTTAGCGTGATATAAACAAGGGTGGGTTGACTACAAAATATTTGTAGTTCGCTATAACTACAGCTACTTCAAAAATCTGTGGTCAGCTACAACTACTGCTACTTTTGAACAAAGGTAGTTCGCTACTGACTACAGCTACTGCTTAAAAAATGTAGCGAACTATATATTTTTAGTTTTACTGTATTTGGAGCATCTACTAACTCAGGCTGGAATGTAACCTATAACAAATCGATTTACGAGTAACAACAGTAAATACAAAGCAACATTTTTGAAAGCACTACAGTGTTCAGGCGTGCAAATTGACTATTGAGTATTGATTTTAAGCAAACCGTGTCTCAATATCATTCTATTCTATCAAGTTACTAACAATTTTAAAAAGTAGCGAATAGCGATTCGCTGTTTGAAAAGTAGTCAACTTCTTGGTTACTTTTAGGCAAAATGTAGTTTGCTATAACTACAGCTACTGTTTTAAAAAAGTAGTCAAAAACTACTGGCTACTTGAAAATTGTAGTTCGCTACAGTAGCGAACTACAACTACTTCGCTACTACCCACCCTTGGATATAAAGCGAACTAATTTTTCATCTCTTTAATATTTGCTTACAGCTTGAGAAATGGTGGGAGGAGGTTGGATATTTAAAATCACGATATCCTATTGCACCGTTCATAAACGTGTCAGGTCCAGTATTACTGTATGAAGATATCTGGCCAGCTCTTGAGGGGACACAGATCAACCGAACTGCAATCATGTTATATTATCTTTTAAACGAATGGAAACTACTGTATAGGTATTTATTTGTAATTTATATATGAATGAAAAATAGAGAATAGACGATAACTTTCGAAAGAGAAAAATAACATTATTTTTTTATTGATCGGTTGGCAAACTTCAAAGCGTCTATAATGAGCTATGGTTTTATGTTGATACGGCTTCACCGTGAGCAAGTCTTTCGAAATTTTGCTTACTTTATTTGTGTTTAAATTGCAAGATATTAGAATTCACGCAGATTTACAGTAAAGCCCCGCATATAGAACAAGTGAATTTTAACTTCAGGCTTCATGTAGTATTTAAGGAGTATAGCACGAACCCTGGCCAGGGCTAAGTAGTAAGTAGCTATACTTTCCGGATGCACGAAGCGTGCATAATAAATGTAATAAATCCGCGCGAAAAGATTTGCTTGGCACAGTGGCACACTGAAAGGTAGATAAAAATTGGAAATAATCCTATATGACAATATATGCATATAAGATTTGTTGTAGCAGCTGCATAAAAAAACTCCCCGGCTTGTCTGTCTGTTAAGATTTTTCGGTTCAGGTGGATGGAAAATTTTGATAAAATGGTATCAAATTAATCAAAATATCATTTTAAAACGTATGTGATTTTCTAGTTTTATACTATAGGTTGCACCATTTGAAGGTGCGTGAAATTAAAACTGCGTAAAATTTAAATACAGTTAAAGACACGAGATTGTGTCATTGACATTGGATGGTTGCTTCATTATGCCAATAATACATTGTCTTCACTGTTCACAAGTTTGCATATAGATATAGACAAAATAGAACAAAGACTTTCGCAGAGTTTCCAAACTATGATCCATACATGCATACAACACAAAGTTATCAGCCATTGGCATCATTGATGTAGTCCTAAAATTTTAACAATAGGGCTTATCTAATTCTAGGCCTTGAGGTATGAACTACTACAATTTTTTAAAGCACGAACATACAATCACTATACAACTAGCCTCCTTAGTCAGAATAGTAGAATACCATCCCGATTCCTGGATGTAAGGAAAAATAGCATTACTGGTATGACCTGAAAATAGAATATAGAAATAAATCGGAACAGTTAGTAGCTGTGCTTTAATTGAAGAATAATGCCTGATCTTATCAAATTAGTACAAAAATATTTTCTGTGTTGGTGTAATGTACTGAATATGATGAAAAATATGCCTGTATTGCTGTAATCATTAATTTTTTTGTGTGAATTTTTTCTCAGTTGACAGAGGGTTGGGCTAGTACCAGGCATTTTTCAGGCTTGCCCGGTGTGGATATACACTCAGAGTAACATCACAAGCATCATATTCGCTTGAGTACATTACACCAACACAGAAAAAAATCATGATTACTAGATTACATCGATATCGAAGGAACTAGGCTCAGTTCCGAAATATCACATCCTCGAACCGACCTGACGGCGTAGTTCAGTTGACAGAGCATTGGGCTAGTATTCCAAAGGTCATAGGTTCGATTCCCACTGTGGCCAGGCATATTTTTCAAGCTTACCCGGTGTGGATATACACCGGCTCACAGTAACATCACAAGCATAATACAAAAATGTTGTATTTTAATTAGAGACTATTTCAGTCTTGCAAAAAATCCTAGATCCCTGCATACACGGTTCATTTATGGTCAGGAAAAGATCGTTTGAATGAACTTTATACTGTCATTCAAACAAAGCTAATTCAACTTTGAAATGTCATTTTGGATGTTTGGATTAAACGAATTATCCCAGTTAACCAGACTAGTCCGGCTCCATACCAACAGCCCCTTAGATGTCTATAAATTCAGAACACTAAATATTTAAACTTACTATAATGCTACTTGTTTTCTCCCCACAGGCAAGAATTTCCAGTGGATGGAAAAGATGGCACTCCACTAAGTATGTCTCAGTATTATAATTTAATGTCTTGGTGTCGAATACCTAAGCTTAATATTGATCATTACATTGGTGGAATAGAACCAGGTAATTTATTCGGAAAACGAACCAGGTCAAATCTATTAGGAACTCCTTAATAATATACATTTGAATCATTCATTATCGTTCATGAAAAATTCAGAATGAGCTTTTGCAGATAATCATTTTATACTGAACTGGGTCATGCACGATTAATTGATCACATGGTTTTTAACTGCATGCCTCTCAAATGACAACATTACAGTTTTCTTAAATGCAATTTTCAATATATATTATGCATAGCGGTTCCAGACGGCGGAACCTGGGGGAGAGGACAAGGGGGTTAAAGGCCCCCCATCTTTCAAGAAGTAGAAAAAAGGGAGACTAAGCCCTACTAAAGATAAGTTATTATATATTAAATATCCATAATTCCTCGTTATGTGGCTTGAAACAGTTGTTATTGGTGGTTAAGGTAATGAAACGTCGAGGTTTCTGCGTTTCAAATTTTCCTCATGCAGAACGAAGAAAATGGCATTTCAGATAGATTTGAATTAAGAATTTCCCAGACGCATGCCTCTGGACCCACTTGGAGTTTGTTACCCCCCCCCCCCACCTCCCTCCCCCGCCCGCCAAGCAAACCAATCTTCATGCACGCTGCTGAAGGAATCATGGTGTTAAAGTTTTGAATTATTTTGTCTATTTTGTCTGTAGCACCAGGGCCAACAGCCAGGTATATAACTGTTATAACTCGAGGAAGAGTTTATAAATGCGAAGTTTTAAAATCTGATTTGGAGCCAATAGGTATACCGGAGATTAAAGCGTAAGTTAAAGTAACTTTGTGTATTTTATTCAGGTTTTTCTTAAAATTCTTCCTTTCTACATACAGGGAGGATGGTTAGATATCTTTTAACATTTTGAGGAGGAGCTATACAACACGACTTTACAAATCCAATTTAAAGCCAAAATGCCCCTCTTGCAATTATTACACAATGGAGAGTAATAAACAGACATCCATCCACTTCCGTCGTAACGTAACGTAGCCTTTTATTTTGTGTGAAAGCCATTGATTCTGCCGTAGTGCTGAGGTAACAAAGAAAAGCCTTACTGTACGTTTCAGTAGCAAGCGTGAAAATATATCTCCAACGGTGCGTGACAAAGTGTCAGGTACCAACTGATTGGTGCCTGACACCATAGCTGACACTGGACATTTTGTGCCTAACAAAAAATATTAACGCAATAGAGCAAATATAGTTTTTCGTGGTCCTTGAAATAAAAGAAGCCAATGAAAAGCTTAGTAACAATAACTAAGCCACTAGTCAATTATATCATACGGAATCGAACAATCATAAATTTCACAGCATTTTCACAGGCGTATTGTCTTAACATTCATACGCGATGAAATTTGGACATATACACATAATTTTTAAATGTGGAATGCAAATATTTTGAAATATTATAATGAAAATTTTAATGCCAGTTGTAGTCAGTTTCACCAATATAGTTGTATTAATATGCTGCCGGACAAACTGTCCGGCAAAAAAAAACACAGTTGTGCCGGACAATTACCTTTTCGTACCGGACAATGCCCGGACCGGCCGCTTATTTTCAGGCTTGTTCAGTAAGGTACAGTTGGGATAGAAAACAGGGGATGGCACTTACTGGACCTCGATCCAGGGGAACAGTTTAGAATTGATAGAGCTATTCAGTACATGTTAAGCATCGGTAAAGTTTAGTTTAATGTTGCTGTTGGTTGGAATTTTTTCAGTCCAGACTACAGGCTATAACATTACTGCCTTTTCACAAATGAGATGTCATAAGGGCACTGAAAATATTTATACCATTGTATTTAGCCAACTGAGGTCTATCGTAGATGATGCAGCTCAAAAACCATTTGGACCAGGCGTGGGAAGTCTCACAAGTGAAAACAGAGATACCTGGGCAAAGGTACATATATTTCATTATTTGTCAGCCTCCCCACAGGCAACACAATGGCCAAAGGCAGAATTACGCAATACTTAATAGAGAAATGATGAGGATAACAAGGGATCATTGTGGATTATTGTGCAGCAGTGACGAATGTTGCCACCTCCCACTCACCACCCATAATTCATTCCTTTACCTTGTATTTCCTATATATGCATGTATCTTTTTAACTACTTTATAAACTAACAGGACTGAGAGATTTCCTCCTTTCAGACGAAAAATGAATATTTTTCAAATTTCGAGACCGCTTCAATGGAATGTAAAAAGTAACCCATCGTTAGAATGCTGAATTACTAAACTTTAAAAATTACGGAATTTGACATTTGAATCCAGAACTCGTTTTTAGTGTAAAGTTTCTTCGAAATTTTACAGTATTGTGATGAGAATCATAGTTTTAAATAAGTTTAGTGGGAATGCTTTTAGCGACAGCTCCCAATGCAAATGAAGTTTTAGAATAAGCAAAATTTGGTTGTTGGTGAAACAATATAAATTTCGAGTTGTCGCGTGTGGCATCACAATAAATAAATAAATTGTATCAGTTCCACAAGGCTACTCATGTGCCGAACGCATTAAAAACAATAGATAATGAGATGAAATGCCTATGATAACTGTTTATTTCGTGGTGTGATCCACATTTTTGAATAACCTATGGCTGCTCTAACCTATGCTTGCTCTTACTGTTCTAGGTTGTCGACGACCCTATATAGTTCTTGCAGTGTCTTTTTCAGTTTGAAACTTTACACTATTCTTGGATCCCTAGTTTTTATACATCCTGTATAACAAATGCCTGAATATACAGTAGTGCATGCCTTGTCCAGACTTTGGCAGTTGGCCCAAATTTGGTTTACACTGATTGACTGATTACACTAACCAATTAGTGAAGCATAAACCTGATCAAGGCCAGGCCTAGGCTTGTAGGCTAAACACCACTTAAATATGATTGTCTTCAATAGTACTCTATTATTTTTTCACAGGAGAGAGATCATCTTATTTTAAGCAATCCATACCACTGGGAAATTTTGAGAACAATTGAAAGTAGCCTTATCACTATTGTTTTAGAAGATAACAGTCCTTCCTGTCTTGATGAGGTTAGCTTGGTATATTTTCTGTACATTGCGTATACAGCACTGACCTATATGTAAATATGCCTGGACTGATTGCTTAATCTATACTTTTACTTGAGCTCGATTTCTGCCAACTGCTCACGTCATATATGTCTTTGCTTTTATGTGAAAATTCACTGACCAAGATTTCGTCAACCAATATAAAAAACAAATAAACATAACAAATACCAAAACAACAAAGAATGGAAAAAAATATTTAAAAACTTCTCTTGATTTTCATATAGCTCGCCAAAAACAGTAGTTATTAATATGTCTGTTTGGTTTTTTCATCGATTTGAGGCCCTTTTGACATTATCATGCAACAACGCAGACATTTTGATAGCATGTTCACCTTTGGTGCATGAATATATTTCTCTTTGTTCTTGACTCCTGCGCCCCTGTCACCACCCTGCTTCTATTCTATGTGAAACGTGAGAATATATAACCTCCATTTTGACCTCAAGCACTCAGTCCAGGTAAACATAGTGCCTGGTATATATGGTATTTTTGTAGTATTTGTTAGTCATTTTGTATTGTTGTTCGTTTTTGTGGGAAATACCATGTTTTTTATCTATATAAAACAATTATTTTGATTGCCATCCAAACTTACATTTACAGTGGCGGGCACTTCGCGAAATATTGGGGGGATGGGTGAATTTAGGTTGCCACCATATGATCAACAGCCCTTCGTTACTGGAAATCAATATAGTTCTTTAAACTTTTTTGCCTTAAATTGCATGCAATACATATAGCTTATCCTATACGATACTTTCATAGGGGAAGGGGGCCGGTTGTCCCCATGCCCCCCCCCCCTAGCGTCCGCCACTTCACTGTTTGTGTTAAATTGTTCAATTAGGGTGATCATATTAAACAGGGTTGTTAATTTCTGTTTCCAATTATATTTTCGCCTATTTTAAAGTTGTTTGTGAAACTCGCCTTTCAAAGCTCGGGGAAAATTCCGGAGTCTCGCGAGGGCCTTGAACCTGTAAATATTTGTATAGTATAGTTTATATATATATAATATATGGCATATATAATATTTTTTACAGCTTCAACTGTCGCTCAATTGTGGCAACTGTAAGAACAGATGGTTTGACAAATCTTTTCAATTGATTATTTTCAAAAATGGTTTAATGGGAACGAATCTTGAAGTAAGAAACTAAAATATTCAGTGGTTTATACGTCTTATACAGTATATATAGCCCGCCCCATATATGTCGTCACATTGGAAAACTGTCCGCAATAGAAATAGTGAGCGGGTGTCTGAATTGATTCGACTGCAGGGGCGGATTCAGATCGTTGCAACTGTAGCATATGCTACGGTCAGATTTTCCCCGAGATATATTTTTCCAGGTTGTACCTTTTTTAAAGTTATTAAAAACTAAAACGTTATACTATTTTTAATTGCCGTTATTTTCAATTTTTCATTGAAACTTGGTGCAATTTTTTTCAAATTTACTAAATCATATTGATACAATTTTATCGAGTTTTATTTCATTTTGGATAATTAAATTCGGGGTTTTCTCAAATTTCCGCCCGAAATACTGCCTGTATTTGCGAGTTTTGCACTACACAGTAAAAACAAATTGGTTAAAATGACCAAAAAAAATTGGTCGTTTGAATGCGTCTGAGACAACCAGTTTAAATTGGTCGTTTTAACCAAAAAAGTAATTGGTCAAATTGACCAATTATTTAATTGGTCAAATTGACCAATTATTTATTGGTCAAAACAACCGGCAATAATTGGTTGTTTTGACCAATAAATAAATGGTCAATTTGACCAATTAATTATTTGGTTAAAAAGACCAATTTAAACTGGTTGTCTCAGACGCATTCAAACGACCAATTTTTTTTGGTCATTTTAACCAATTTCAAATGACCAAATTAAAATTGGTTAAACATTTAAATTGGTTAAAGTGATCAAAATTGCTTTCCATTTCGCCATTAAACCATTCAAAACGTGCTTGAAAAACAATAATTTATTAACAAATAAATATTAAGATTAAAATACAAAATCAATATACAGTATATGCAATATAATAACTTATAGGGATGAAACGTCACACGAAACCTCTCTGACTGTAAATATTTCTACAATATTTACTCGTCGAAGAG